TGTTACACAGTGCTACAGAGTGTTGACAGTGTTACATAGTATTACACACACTAACCCTAACCCACCGTGTTACACACACTAACCCTAACCCACCGTATTACATAGTGTAACATGGTGTTACACACACTAACCCTACCCCTAACCCTAAATAAAGATAGCGTAACACTTGTAACACTGTACCCTGAGCATATACTTGATAATACACCCTAAATCATGCATCATATGCTCAACGCAATCAGTTTCTGGAATGATATAATTACATTCAATACAATTTACTAATCTATAAATAACATAGTTTAAAGGACAATGGCAAGAAAATTCCATTTTGTCTTTTCTATTGGAAAAGTATAATTTAATTTTGTCTTAATTGATGTAATCTTGTCAGCTGAACTATTTCAAGAATTAGGCAAGATATTGTGTCACAAAATGTGCAACAAGCCGCAATTTATATGCTAGTCAGCAGTACTTTTAAGGTTGTTGTCCCATAAAAAATTCTGTCAAAGCTGCCCGAGTGTCCTCAGCATCAGTAGCCACAATGTCATTGTGCCTACATATGGGTTCATCCAGAGGTAAATTTGCCTCTTCCCATTCAGGAAGGAAGTTATTGTTCTGCATTTCACATAAATTGTGTAGGATGCAAGAAGCCTTTGTGACTGGAACAACTGATGTAACACACATGTCAACACGTTTCAAAAACCTGGCAAATCTACCTTTCCATCTTCCAAATGTATTCTCTACAGTCATTCTGGCACGACTGAGAGAATAGTTGAAGACACGCTCAGCAGGGGGAGAGTTAGAACTTACTTGATACGGTTTCATAAGCCATGGTAGTAATGGATATGCTGGGTCACCAATGATAAAAGGTGATACATTCTCGCCTTGTATTTGTTTTGCGGGTATCTCGGGAAAAAGCTGATCATTGTTGCCCTTCTGGTAGATTGATGAGTTGGATAATACTCGTGCATCATGAACACTCCCTGGCCAGCCTATGACGACATCTCTAAATATATAATTTGAATCCACCACTGCTTGCATTATAATGCTGTGGTATCCTTTACGATTTACGTAAGCCAAATGACTTTCTTCAGGAGCAAGGATTGGAATATGAGTTCCATCAATGGCACCAGCACACATAGGCATTCCCCACTTTTTATCGTAATTATTTATTACTTGCACAAGTTCTTCTCCCTGTGGAAATTTTATAACTCTTGACAACCGTTGGTTGATTGCCTCACAAACGTCTTTGATGCAAATACAGACAAAAGACGTCGAAACACCAAAGAGATGTGCAATTGTCCTGTATTCTGCCGTTGAAGCCAGGTAGTAAAGGGTTAGTGCAAGTTGACGTTCAGCAGGTATAGATTTTCTCATTGTTGTATCTTTTCTAGATATCTCTTGACGTATTTCTTCTAATATGAATGTGAATGTTGCTCTAGTTACTCTGAAATTTTGGTACCACTGTTCGTCGTCGAATAGAGCAGTAACTACCTCGTACCAAATAGCCGTCCTTCGATGTGTCCATATCTCTCGCATTCGTGGCGGATGAATACACGACAAACAACATTTACTCGAAACAACAACTCCTGTCGTCTCTTAACGTACTTTTCTAGTATTGAAGTGGGTTTTTTCTCGGTTTTCGGCTGATTTAATGATCGTCTTCGTTTCAATAAGTATAAATATGTAATTCTATTTGTGTCCGCCATCTTTAAAATATACCGTCGTAAATAGAAAGTAGAGGTGCCGTTTCTCGATGGGCACGGTGCCCATTATCAAAGTGTGTCTACAAAATAATTGTCGTGTAAACGAGTAAATAGCGAGATGGGAGTTTCAGCACGGTGCCCATTTTCAGGGGTGCCGTGCCCAAAACGCTTGTCGTGTAAACCGGCCTTTACTTAGCCTATGAATTTCAGACGGCGAATGTTTACTTCAGGATTATGGATGGATAAATAATAATTCATCAACTATTACCTAATTTGCATACATGGCGTTTTACGGCGTGAAGACTTGAGGGCTGGTCAACATTCAAGATGGCGGACGAAGAAAAAGTCGAAAGCGGGGGAGATAGTTCTGAAAAAGAAGATGCTCCCGTAACAAATGGGCTTCCCGAGTCTGCTGAAACTAAGCCTGATGCAACGGCTGGCAGCAAGAAGAAAAGGAAAAAGAAAAAAGGTAAAAAGAAAGATGAAGCAGCCGGACTTGTTCCAAGTCCACAGGCACTGGCTCAACTACAAAAGGCCATGGGAAAGTTAAGTTTTAACAACGCAGTGACTGGTGGAAAAGGAAAGGAAAAAGGAAATCTATTTGACAGGAAATATGAGTTTTGGGATACTCAACCCGTGCCAAAATTGAGTGAGTATATGTATCGAATTAAATATTACAAATGTTTATTGTTTTACAAAAGGAGTATAAATTATATCATGGTTTCCTGGGTTTCTATTTTGCTTATTTTTACTACCACCTCTTAGTCGGTAGATATACAAACATACAATTTAAACTAACCTAGCACATGAATTTCCCTGTTATATGATTAGATTATTGGTATGAATGCGTATGATTAGATTATTAAATTACTAAATAAATCTCAAGGCCGACTTTATACACTACACAACCTTTGGCTAAAACTGTCGCATGCAACCTGCTTACAACCTGAGTTCTACTGTGTAAATCAAGCACACAACTTGTCTGCATTGTTGTAGGTGAGTTGTGTGCTTGATTTATACAGTAAAACTCGAGTTGTAAGCTGGTTGCATGTGACAGATTTACAGACCTGCCAACTGTCACAGATTTCCTGTGTGACTCACAAATTTAGGCATTATCTCACAGACTCACAGAAATATTTTCAAATCTCACGGATTCGCGATTTTGAAATTTTAACCACCACTAGACTTTAAAATGGGAGTGATTGATGTGAAATAAAACTAGCCATTGACAGTTATTCTAATTTGTAAAAAATCCCCAACACTATTAGTATTTATTTACTCATTAAATGCTAAGTAGCAGTCTAAGTACTCCGCCATTTTGAATAACCTAAGCGGTATGCTCCATTAGTGTATCGCCCACGCAGAGCGGGAAATTTACTGCAAGAAAATGGCGGAAGCAGAAACTTCTCAAATCGGCCAATGGGCTAGCAATTTCCTGTTTTATATTCACATCATCCCACATTGAGGAACTTGATTTTTACCCCCTCGTAGGAATTTCCAAGGTTGGAAATGCAGGTCAGTGGTTGAAAATCATCCCCTTCCTCTGGAATTCCAAGGTTCCTCAACAGGGGTGTGTGGGATAGAAATTGGAATAGTATCCCGAATTAGTAAGATACACTCGTATTGACTAAGACCAGGTTGAATTTGCATGTAAACTGTTGAGTTAAAGTTTTATTTTGGAGGACAGTAATTATAAATTGCTATGTCACAGAACATAGATCAGGCATCGACAGGCAATGATTACAGTACCGTAATTGTCTTATCCAGAATTACCCCAGATTTTCAGTATTTTATCTCCAGAAATAAGAGATTAATCTCAAGAAATTTTCTATCAGATCTCCAGATTTGTTGCTGTTGGAGGTTGGCAGGTCTGGATTCAGGCAAAGGTTGTGTAGTGTAAATTGGCCTTTTGATTTTGATTTTTTAACTATAAATCCAGCACACAATGCACTAGAGGTAATAGAAAGTAGTTACCAAATCTGTAGATGTTTCTTCTGGGATTAAATTACATTAATGTTTTTGCTTCAAACACTCAGGAAGGGAACATGGATTGAAAACATCAAGGAATGACATATTATTTCGGCCAAGAGCAAGAATCCATGGTTTTGTAAATTATACATATTCTGTATGAGGTGTGGTTAGAATCAATGACAATTCATACTACAATTACATCCATAAATTTTGATCTTTAACAAATACTTTACTGGCAAAATAAGACACATTTTGCAAGCAACATTTAAACTCACACAAGGCATGTTGTACATATAGTTCTATTAAGTAGTGACACTATTCTGTGTATTTTGTCAAGGGCTTCGAGTCACCTACAGGTCGAGTCACGCAAAGCTCGAGTCGAGTCATTTCAGTTTCTGAACGAGTCGAGTCAGCTGCTTCACTTGAGTCGAGTCAGCGGCTTCACTTGAGTCAAATCGAGTCACTGGTTTAAGTCGAGTCAATAGCTAGACTTGAATTGAGTCAGGGAATTTGATCAAGTCCACCCACACTTTCTGTAATGGTTTGCTACCCTAGCTTGCACTCTGAATTTAGTAATCAAACTTACCTTTTAAGCTAATCAATTTAGTCATTTAATAACAGTATCTGGGCAGCTAATCTGTACCAATATCACAGTTCTAGTCAATATTAAGTATGACTACATGAGATGTCTCATCATGCCTGCTGATCGAGTGCACGTACATACAACTAGCATAACTTACAACTGGAGTCAGAATTAACAAAGAATAGACTTTAATTAATAAACGCTTTGTAAGTTACATATAGCTCTTCATAAATACCAAAAATGAAAAGAGCCGGTCAGAATTAGTATAAGTACAAAACATTTTGAGACTCCACTTTAAAAACTGTAGCACTAGCATTGTTTCTAAAAACAGAAATGTAATATACCTGTAGGCATGCCCGTCAGGAATACATTTTATGCAAATCCCCATATATTTTCTGATAAAGTTTCAAAGTTCTCATTGTTCTTCCCAAGCAATACAATCACAATAATTTTGATGAATTTATTCTGTACAAGTTGTAGCTGAGTTGACTCGAGTCATTTACGGCAAAAATCAGCAAGTCGAGTCATTGGGGCTGTTGAGTCATTGGGGCTGTTGAGTCGAGTCATTTTTCGTATTGGACTTAAGTCGAGTCGCTGACAATAGCGACTCGAGTCCGAGTCAATGACTCGACTCGTTACAACACTGGGCTTCTCTTTTATGTAATGTCAACAAATGCGAGGGCTCAAAGTAATGGCTGATCAATATATTGTAGTTTGGATTGCCAAATTAAAACAATGTTTTTGGACATTTTTGTCTTTATCCAATGTGAAATGACTACAAGTGTGTTTTAAATTTTAGGCCACATACACCTTCAACAGCAAATCACTGCATGCATATTGCATACACATCTATTTTCATGATGTTCCAAAAATCCGAGGGTTCTAAAATTTGTATTCTAATTCATGAGATATTTTTCAGAAAAAAATGCAAAGCTGTAGTGATAATTTTGACCCTTAGCCAATTTAATTAACCTAGGCTTATATTTACTCAATTTTAATTAACCAATTTCAAGGGTTCTTTTAAATTTTTTTATAGGGCCAGTAACGTCCCAAAAAACTCAATCGTGACTTCACTGAACTAAATATAACTCCAACATCAAAGCAATTTTGAGATGTAAATGCTAAAATTGTGAAGCTTACAGGCTCCAAAAAGTCTAGTATGTATGTGCATGCATACTAGAGGTGTGTGTTGGATCGGATTGGCCTCTTTGAATCCAACGTTTTGTCCACGTTCCGAATCCAATCCAGTGTGAAGCTGAAAAAACGTAATCCATTTCAATCTGAAATTTTTTTATTAAATCCGATGCTAAAAATCGCAATCCGATCCAATCTGAAATATTGTATCTGTGATCTGATCTAGAAAAGCATATAATTATATGTTACAATTATCTATCACCAATAAAAAACAAAATCATGGTATAATAGTTTTGTTTGTGGAAACACCACGTAAATTTATTACTGCAAAGCTTTCGATACGTAAGCCCGGATCTTCATCAGTGCTAATAATCTATGCTCATATTATTAGCACTGATGATGATCCCGGCTTACGGATCGAAAGCTTTGCAGTAATAAATTTACGTGGTGTTTCCACAAACAAAACTATTATATTTTATCGCCATGCAAACATACAAAGAACTTAAAATCATGGTAGATTGACAACCACAGAAAATCGCATTGAGAATGTTTTGCAAATGTAAAACCAACAAAGAAACATAATTACGTATTCTTATTCGTATTCTAAACATCAGCACAGATAATGGAAAGTGGGAACAGGGTGAACTAACATTTTTCAAATAAAATGTTAATCGAAGCACGGATGATACAAAGACTATATATGGACTATCTAAATTGTTTTAATTATCCATGGTCGAAGAAAAAATTGATGGAGATCTTGTGTTTTCTTAAAATTCTAAAATCTGGACCATAATTGTGAAGCAGATGGAAAAAGTTGATGTAAAGTGGTAGATTAATTGTTATTGTGTTTTTACGAGTTTAAAATGATGTTAAATTAAAAAATCCGATCTGACAGATAAAAAAACAAAATCTGATCCGAACACGTAAATATTTGGTCCAAATTGGTTTGGATGCACAAGGATACATTTTTTTTATCGATACGAGATATATCAAAGAAATGTACAAACTAATTGTACAGATAGGGTTCAAGGTTAAAGTAAATTCCATTATTTAGTGACATACTGTAATTACAAAATTGTGTATAATTATGTCTAATAATATTGTATTTTGGTTGAAAAATGCCCCGTAGTGATACCCCTGAGTCATGGCTCAGGATTGGCTCAGGATATTCTCAATAGTGGCATACACTGTACATTGGATACTGCTGTGAACTGTCAAAATACGTCTTTACTTGTCTGTATCTGTGACATTCTGTGTCTGTGACATACTGTACATAGAGAAGGGAGATGCATACACTATACACTGCACTTCGTCTTTTTTCTAAATTTGTTTATTTTATACATAATTTCCTATATACAGTATATATATATTCTTTTCCTATTTATATATTCATTTCCTGAGTAAACTATCCTTACTTTTCCTGTTTTAGTTCACTGGAAAATATTTATTTTAGTTATTTATTTTAGTGTATATGTTGCCAACTTGGCTAGCCAGAGATAGATCAAGGGATGGATGATGGATCTAGGAGTGGATCCAGCCAGAGAGGGGGGGGGGGTTGCTTGTTGGGCTTCGGTTGTGCAAAACGTGATGAGCAAGGGTGCAACCATTGTCATTGACTAAGTGTCTAAGTGGGTACTAATCACTAAAGGATGCTGGTATGGCAGCAAGGCAATAGACGTCTTTATTCTTGCTTGACAACTTCACGATCCTGTTACTATCTCATTTTGTTTCTCATTTGTTTATTTTTGCATGTTTAATTTATAAATGCGCCCACCCCACTAGAACTAGAGTTATGCTGTTTGTTAGCAAAGCCTTTGATTTAGAAGATCATAACATTTTGTTGGAGGAGAAGCACGTCCCTAAAACCATCAAGTATTGTATTTTTGATTTCCTGACGAACCGTAAAGAGAGAGTAAATTTAAGTGATGACTTCCGATTGGAATAAAGTACCGGCAGGCCTCCCACACGGCACGAAATTTCGCCCTTGGTTGCAGTTTGTTATAATTATTGCGAAACTCATTAATAAAAATAAATCATGAGCGTGAAGGAGTTTGTTCATTCATTTATTTTAAATTGTTGAAGAATACGAATGTTCTCATCGAGACGTTTCACAAGCTATATAAAAATTCCCGTCCGTTTTGTATTAGACATACAACCTCTCGCCTTCGGCTTGAGTTTGTATATTTGATACAACATGGCCGCTCTTGCTTTATCTTAGCGTACAGGTGTTGACGACCTCTGGAAGTACGTGGATGACTCAACTATGTCTGATACTATGTCTCAGTTGGTATAGAAACGAAACAAGTTTAATTCGAATAAGACGAATTTGCTAGGAAGTCAATAATACTGTAGATCGCCTTTAATCAAAAGAATCCAAATGCATAAGCTTCTCTACTGTACGTCTAACAAAGCGTTTCAACCCATAGTTATTAATGGTAGAAATGTTGAAGTTGCAACATCTGCAAACTTACTGGGCCTTAAGTGGAATATTCATGTCTCAAATATTTGCAAAAAGGTTATGTTGGCAACCTAAATTCGCACCCATAATAGTCGTAGAATTGCTTAGCACTGTTTGAATGCGCAATCGTTACTCTGCACTGGTTTAATTACTTGCTATATTGTTTATTTTTTAGCCGAAGTTTGTCTTGAAAATCAAGCTGTGGAAGCAGATAAACCACTTGAGGAGATCAGACAAGAAGAATATTCACTACCTCGTGGATTCGAATGGGATACACTAAATATTGCTGACGCTTGCCAGGTAAGGTATTTGCTGTTTTGTAAAAGACCAGAGGACCTTAATCAGGGCCGCCGAGAGGTTGTGCGGGACCTGGGGCAAAACGTTCCCAGGAAACCCTATGACGTCATAATTGCATAACGGGAGAAGCGGTGTTTTACAATATATTACATTTTATTGCATATTACCCGCCACTAACACAGCTAGGATTTATATTCTCAGTTAAGCAATCTTGTATCAAGAAATTTTAAGGGCATTCATTGCTTTCGAGACCCCTTTTGAGCTGTGACCTGGGGCAATGTGACCCCGTCCCCTCTACTCTACCATCCTCTCGGCGGGCCTGACCTTAATACCGTACCTGACCGCACTCCTCCGCAGAGGCGTTTATCAGTGACTTTTATTTTCGTTAGTTTAACGCGCGTGCTTACATTTTCCATCTCTCGCCGTTAAGGCCCATTTCCACTCGTGTAAATCTAACCTAATAGAGAGTTTCAAATTTGACTTCCACTACCGCCACCAATGAGTGACCATTAGCCAATCAGGTGCGTTTGATATATCCGATCAACCAATCAGATGTTTACTAAGCCAGTGAGAGGTAATGGTAGTGGAAGTCAAATCTGAACCTCTCTAATATAATTATATAAACTTCATGTGAAACTGAACCAGCGTGTTGCTGAGTTCAAGAGTGCGATATTAATTGGGAAAGGAGAACACCATACACTGTATCTTGCATATACCATTGACCTTCATGTTTATCTTGACCATATAGTCACGAAATATAGGACGTGTACTTGTTGTTCACGTACACATTGCGACATTGCATGCAGGCTTCGGGATTTTTTACGTTTTTCCTTCCATGTCCCTTACGAAATGACGGATGTAATGTCATGTTTTGTGAGTAGATAATCCATTAAGATTTTGATCGCAAAGTTGTTATAACTTTTTGTTCATTATATTCATGAGCGATTTTCCGGGTGGGAAACGTATTCTTATAATGAAAATAAGAGCCCAGCATAATGCTTAATATATAGAGCCATTTACACACAGATATATATTGAAATTATGCAAATTTGTGCACAGCGCATGAAAACAGTGAATTTTTGACATCATGAAGCAATCGTCCAATAGCATCATCTTTTCCAATCGGCCCTTTCGATTGAATTATTAACAAGCAAAATTTCAAAAGATGTTTGCTGTGCAGTCGTCTCAAAAAATGGTAGCTCATTATAGACGCTTTGAAATTTTCCGAGTTTCCAAACCAGTGGCAGACACTGGGCTGAGGGTGGGGGGTTGCCACTCCCAATAATTTCTCCCCCTTCCCAATATTTCACCAAGCGTCCGCCACTGTTCCAGACTATATTTTGATTGACTATGACAGCGTTGGACCATCGGAATCGGGTGCTCAGTCTTTACACTTTTCTCTTCAATAGTTGAAAGAGCTGTACGTTCTCCTAAGTGAAAACTACGTGGAAGATGATGATAATATGTTTAGGTTTGATTACTCACCTGACTTTTTAAAATGGTACGTTTGACATACTGTAAATAGGCACAAATTTAGTGTACTTAAGAGGAGATTTTTTTGTATGTTACGTAACACGCGCTCAAAACTAATGCGTATGATATACCACTTGGGGTTATGACTAAATTCAAAATTTTTATTTTTCGATACGTTTGTCAATCGGCAAACAAACTTAAAAAGTATGTTTAGTGCTTTATCTGTGAAAATAATGCTAAAATGAAGAGATTTTAGATAGTACGCCAAAGAGAAAATGATGTCTGAAGTTCAGTAAGTTTTACAATATATGGCTGTAAATAAGGGCCCACAGTAATTGGTAACATATACTGTTGTGGTGACCCTGCCATGAATGCATGCATGATAATGGCGAAGTTAAATAAATAAATAAAATATGGCGTCAATTTTAAAGAATCTTTGATAATTGTATTTTAATTGACAATTTTTAACTATTTTTTTATGTTTCTCAACCGGCAGATGCATATAAAAAGGTTGCTAACTCTATAAACTAGAGAATAAAGCTAAAACAAAGTAATTTTGAGAGGGACGCCAAAAAGATTTTAGGTTTTGAACACTTTTCATTGCAAATACGTGACATTGAAAAAAATTGCCTCTTAATCATTTTAAATATAGGATTCATATACTGTACTCATGTACATGCAGGGCATTGTTTACCAGACTACTGTATGTATGTTTGTTTGCAGGGCCTTGAAGCCTCCTGAATGGAAAAAGCAATGGCATTGTGCTGTCAGGGTATCAAGCAACAAGAAATTAGTGGGTTTTATAAGTGCAGTACCTGCAACAATTAAAATTTTTGATACGTAAGTAAAGAAATTTAAATTATTTTTATAATCATATAGATGGCATAATTACTCAAATATGATTGGCTAATGATGAGGGCATTTTTTTTCAATGGCTTCTCGCTTTGTCCTTGCGGATAATGATGTTATTGAAGAATTAAAAACTTGTAGTGAAAACCTGAACACTAGAATTAAAAAGTACAACTTTATTGGTTGGAGTATTTAAGAAATCGGCAGCATTAATTGAGGAACATCGACGAAGACATGGAGACAAACGAGGTTCAAGAACCTGACAAGTTCACAATGAACTTTTGCCCTCTATGCATAATAAGCAATCGCACAGTTCCTCGTAAAATTAAGGTACTTGTGTTTTCAAAGTTTCACAAATCGCACTCGTCACTTCGCGACTCGGGCAATTTGTGAAACTTTGAAAACACGCGTGAAATTAAACCTTAATTTTACTCGGCCCCATGCGATTACCTATACTAATCACCAATGTTGTATTAACTAATTAATAAAAGTAATGTTACAATATTTTACCTAAAAATTGTTGAAGTGAAAAGGCTATACCGTGTACTCTAAAACACTCTGGTTAAAAATCGTGCATGGCTAAAATTCAAAGCAAACTTCCTGGCAGCTTGTTTACAAATTTGGAAATGATTCTTCAGAAATCTTGTCTAGATCGATAGGAATTTTCTTCTCTGAAGTTTTGAAATAATCAGAAGTGCGGAAATACAGTATGCATAAACCAAAACAGCGGGTTAAATTTTAACCGAGGGCTAGCGCTAACCTACCTTTGAACAACTGGCCCCTGCTTTAGTTTATGTATTTCTGCACGTCTGTTTATTTCAAAACTTCAGAGAAGAAAACACTGATCCAGACAAGATTTCTAAAGAAATATTTCCAAATTTATAAACTAGCTGTTGGGAAGTTTGCTTTGAATTTTTGGTTAACCTACTACTACCTAGGGTTAAGCTAATCAACATTTGAACAACCGACCCCTGGTTAATATTCCTGGTTATTTTAACCTTTTGTGTTATAGTTAATTTGACCAGGACCTTCTAGTTAGATTGACCAGACTACGTTAGGTGGATTAATTATCAATTATATATTATAAAGATAAAAATTATAACGTTTATATTTTATAGCTATATTTTATGTACTATTTAAAACACGAGCAAGAGTGCTTTATCAGATATAAAATACGAGGCGACAGCGAGTGTCTTATATCTGCAGAGTGCGATAATTCGCGCGTACTTATACATACCGGAGGTACGCCAATATTACGGTCTGCTGCTTCTGTTTTGTCAGCTACGTAGGTCTGCTGCTTCTGTTTTGTCAGGTACGCGATACTTTTCTCATGTGCGTACTTAACTTTTTGCTTGTACTGTGATCTGTCCAAGCCCAAGTTATTCAAAACCATAACTTAGTGGGAATATGTGCAAGCCTAGCATGACTGGGGTAGGTATTTTTCGAGTTAAGCCCTCCGAGTTAAGCCCTTTTCGAGTTAAGCCGCTGCCACGCCCTTTTTCGCCGAGGGCTTAACTCGAAGTCAATGGACCATTTTCATTATAGACTAAATTTTGATCTAGACAAAAATTTCATCACAGCTTGAAAGAGCATCACAAAATTAGTAATATTCCAAAGTTTCGTTGCGAAATGTTGTAAAATGCGGATAATATAGCCATGCGAAATTTGCAATTTTCAGTCATTTTGTATTACAAACGGGAAATTGATGCCCCAACACCCGATTGGGCTGTCAATTCCCCGTGCGTAATACAAAATGACTGAAAAACGGCAAACTTCGCATGGCTATATTATCCGCATTTTACAACAATTCGCAACGAAACTTTGGAATATTACTAATTTTGTGATGCTCTTTCAAGCTGTGATGAAATTTTTGTCTAGATCAAAATTTAGTCTATAATGCAAATGGTCCATTAACGATTTAAGCATTCGAGTTAAGCCCCGACATTTGGTGGATGTAAACAAGTGACGCGTGTACATATTGGCAAATATATGTAAGGAGGGAGAATGTAAAATTTCAACAATTTTAAGAAATATATTTTACTTAGATCTCTGTTGCTTTGCCTACAGTTTTATACAGACAATGAAATCGTGAAACGAGAGAGTTCAGTAAGGATTTGTAAACAACAGCTCATTCAGGGCGGCAATTACGGCTTTAAAAACTAAATAATGTATTATTTAGCCCTTATTGAGCTCTCTCGTTTCACGATGTCATTGTCTGTATAAAACTGTAGGCAAAGCAACAGAGATCTAAGTAAAATATATTTCTTAAAATTGCTGAAATTTTACATTCTCCCTCCTTACATATATTTGCCAATATTTTTTCGAGTATACACGCGTCATTTGTTTACATCCACCAAATGTCGAGGCTTAACTCGAATGCTTAAATCGTTAATTGACTTCGAGTTAAGCCCCGGCGAAAAAGGGCGTGGCGGGTGCTTAACTCTTAAAGGGCTTAACTCGAAGGGCTTAACTCGAAAAATACCTACCCCGCATGACTGGGCATTAAACATGATTGGACTGTTATGGCGATGGGACAAAGGAATGTTAGAGTCGATCGTAGTATTTGTGTATCTAACTACTAGTTTCAGCTTACTGAATGAATACCTTTCAGAAAGCTGTACATTTTGTACTTCATTCTAAAGACTAAGTGCACCTTGAGTCTTAAGTTTGTACCAGCTCAAGTACGCGGCAATAATCATTGGAGTAGTACTGTAGTCAGATACTACTAAACGTTTTGAATTATCACACCTTGATCTGGTAAAGCACTCCTGCTCGTGTTTTAATTGGCTTAAAAGGCGACACATCCTGCGAATTCACTGGCGAAGGTAAAATAAATTGTATACTGTAACTCCATTATTGCGAAGATTTGCAATATATTTTTCAAAGTAGAATTTAGAGATTTGGATTTTTATTTCCATGTTTTATAGGGAGAAGCAAGTAGTTGAGATAAATTTTCTCTGTGTACACAAAAAATTGCGTGAGAAACGTGTCGCTCCGGTCCTTATCCGTGAAATCACCAGAAGAGTAAACTTGCAAGGAATATTTCAAGCTGTCTATACTGCTGGCGTTGTCCTACCCAAACCAGTTGCTACTTGCAGGTTTGTATCAGTGATTCCTTTTACTTTGATCAAACGGCTTGAAAACTGTGCAGAAAAGTTACAATACACGCTTCCGGAAAGGAAGTCACTAATTTCACACGAAAAGAGGCTCTATAGCCAAGGTGATGTATTTTCCGAAAAGGTATATTATGGTGGGATACGTTCACATGCACCGTACCAGTTCGCGCTCCCAATTTCAGCGTCATCTTCATCTGGCGTATGTAACTTATTTAAAGGCTGTTGTTTGTGATGTTACTCTGAGTGTGTATCCACACCGGGCAGGCTTGAAAAAAATGCCTGGTTACGGTGGGAATCGAATCTACGACCTTTGGAATACTAGCCCAATGCTCTGCCAACTGAGCTACGCGGTCAGGTTGGTTAGAGTATGTGATATTTTGGAACTGAGTCTATAGTTCCTTCGATATCAATGTAATAAAATAATCATGATATTTGCTGTGTTGGTGTAATAAAGGACTTGGTGGAGGAGATACCATATGTATATTGGTGCGAAACATTTTGAAACCTTCATTTAACCATAAAATTTGTTGAATGGTTTTCTAACGGTGCGAAATAATATCACAATGCTTGGCGGCTTTTTGTGAACACAAATTAATTTGTTTTGAACGGTTAGTTTTTCATACTCCTTGCAGAACAAACATCACGTGTTTTAAAATAGTAAACTCGAATGCTTTTCGTTTAATTTTCGTTGCTGTCCTTGAATTATTTCGCATGGTTTTGCATAAATGCTGTTCTTATGGCCTAATGCGAGCACAGGGAAATTGTGTTGGTATTATTTAAACCTCTGTATTTAAACTAAATGAAACGGGTGAATGAAACTTGTACACGAGCCGAAAATAATGTTAAATAAACCATTAAGACTTGGTATTTTCTTTCACTATAAAAGCGGCATATTTTTTTAAGGTATTGGCACAGATCTCTAAATCCAAAGAAGCTTGTCGACTGCAAATTTTCTAATCTCAGTAGAAATATGACCATGTCCAGATCAATAAAGTTGTATAAGTTACCAGACGTAAGTGGGTTTTCTGTGTATTCAACATGTTAATTCAAAGCATGTATATGCGTTTCTACCCGATAATCAAAGTTGCAATGATTGCAATGGATCGTCACTTCAACTGCCATCAGGACTTTTTTAAGTGTTGTATTGTTGTCAACAACAGACGATTTACTCGCCAAAGACTGGCAAAGATATTGATGATAAATGGGATAATTATAATAACCATAACTACAGTGTGTGTTGAGTATAAACATCAGAGGGGTTTCACTCGACAAGGTATATAGTCCTTAATTGGTATATACAGTATAAAATGATTAAATATTTCCTAACATTGTTTTATTTCTAGGAAATCACCATAGAAAATCTACGTCCATTTGAAGAAAGTGATATAGATGATGCATATATAATAGTTAAAGAGGTGTGTACCAATGGTTTATTCAGGGATGGATCCAGCATGATCTGGTAGGGGGGGGGGAGGATGGTCTGGTGCCGACTGCCGAGTTGGGTCGGTCATGTGTGCCGCCTGTCCATCAACTACTGTATTTGAATTGTAATTGTTGTTCACATGCAGTTCACTTATCATCATGTTATTATTCAAATTACTGTATCTCATTTTGTCTTTTTTGCTTTATCATAAAAAATAGCACCCCCCCCCCTGCACCCCCTCTGGCCAGCCCCCCAACCCCAGTAAATCCATCCCTGGATTTATTGTATTTATATTGACCTATATAGGGTGTATCAATAAAACAGAATCCATCTTTTATGCTTAATAATTTTTGGAATACTATAGACTTTGTGAAATGATTTAGATCTTGTTGTAAAGTTTGTTTCCCAAACCCAATCCGTAATGCATGTAAAGTTAGCAAATAAATTGAGAGTATAGTACAAATTAGTGAGTAAATAAACTAATTTCTTTATACATATCGATTTGTTATAGCATGCATCTCAAATTTTAGCTTCTCTCATATCAGTCACTCAAAATATTTTTCGCGAATGGACCATTTGCATTATAGACTAAATTTTGATCTCAACAAGTCTAGACAAAAATTTCATCACAGCTTGAAAGAGCATCACAAAATTAGTAATATTCCAAAGTTTCGTTGCGAAATGTTGTAAAATGCGGATAATATAGCCCTGCGATGTTTGCCGTTTTTCAGTCATTTTGCATTATGCTGGGGGAAATTGACAGCCCAATACCCTTTGAGGTTGTCAATTTCCCGTTTGTAATATATAGAAAATGACTGAAAAACGGCAAACTTCGCAAGGTTATATTATGCGCATTTTACAACATTTCGCAACGAAACTTTGGAATATTACTAATTTTGTGATGCTCTTTCAAGCTGTGATGAAATTTTTCGGTCTAGACTTGTTGAGATCAAAATTTAGTTTATAATGCAAATGGTCCATTAGTGGTTCAAATTGAAAATGTAACCAACCGTTTAAAAGCTGAATAACTAAATTGTGGTGATCAGAAATTAAATATTAAAATTTTGTTATGTTCAATTATTTGCGAAATTAATACATATTTAAATTATTCATCCTGTAGACGAAGAAATCATTCTCCGTCAGTGTTTACACTATTAGGTCACAAATTCAAAACTTCTAGTTATTTTCATTATATAGAAAGTTGTTATTTGTCCGGTCACGGAAACCAACGAGCTTTGGTTATTTGTCTTTGAATTAATTTGATTGGTTTATGTAAATGGTCACCGGTTGTTTCACACACCCTTCCCTAACCCTAACTGATCGGCGCACCTGCTCGCCGGTCGATACGCGCTTCTGGCGCGTACAAGGCGAGAGCCTTGATTACTTGGCTACCGAGGATTTGCTTGAAAATTAGCTAATGAAATTTACTTGATGCCATTCTAGCAAGGTGATAGAACGAAGAAATGAACCAATGAAATTAATTCACGGACGAATAGCCAAAGTCATTGAACTTATAGTAAACTGGAAGGTTAACTCCTATGGTAAAGGCCTATGATTCGTTGAAGCCGACGCACGGGAAAATCAGCTTTCAAAAGGACTAAGGAGAGTTTCGAGGAGTGAGAAAAATTCAGACAAAAGTTTGTTTAAGCAAAAATTTCCAAGAAAAACTGTTTTCCATGGGAATACTGCAATGATTGGAATTCAAACCTGGTTTTCCGATTAGTTCCGACTGTTTTACATCTATCTGCAGTAAGAAGTGAGGAGTTTTACTTTTGTATTTTGAAAAAATAACGAAAGTTTGGACGTGCCGAAGGAAACTTCGCTCTTCAACTTCAAAAAATATACTATAAAACAATTTGACAGTCCCAAAACTTATTTTGTAATAAACCCCACATATTGTTATTTATCCTAAGCTTTTTAGTCCTTGTTTTATTTTTTCTAAAACATGAATAAATTGACGTTTTTCAAGTGGTGTTATTTTCGGCATCGCATCTTCTTGTTGGTCATTTATTAAATATAAGCACTTTGAATATGGCAGCATGCAAGTCAGCTTTGATGATAATTTTTTATCTGTTAAAAGTAAGTCGTGGGTACTTGAAAAGCAATTATCAAATGCATCTAATATTTTTCTACATAAATTGTATTATAATATTTCCCAACTCTTTCTGGAAAGCCTCATAACTCAGAACAACCAAATATTTTCGCGCGGTCCCCTGACAAATTTTGTTTTGGTTCTGTAATATTCCTGTAGTTGAACGATTTTTGTTTATTGTGAGTACTTGAGTGAAAAGTTTACCTGTCTTTGCATGCTCTAAGGGCGGATTTCCAGTCCTCGCACGAAGCTCATCGCAGTTCGTTACGAGTGCTTGCATCTAATTAAAATTAACTGTTTAGCATTGTGATTGGATAAAAGCAGGGCGCTTATATATATATATATTTATAATATAGCATTTGTAAATTCTGAACGCTGAAACGTCGGAAACTTTCTTTTTTTATATATTTCTTTGCGCTATATTATAAAACAAATATAAAACATTTTTTTCCGTATTGATATAAAGTTATATCAACACTCGTGGAAATTGGGAAAACTCGAAATTAACAATTTCTCGTTTTGCCAATTTCCACTCGTGTTGATATATCAACACGGAAAATGTTTTATATTTGTTAAATATAAGCGCCCTGGATAAAAGTGCTGATGCACGCACTCGCAGCGAGCTGCGAGGAGCTTCGTGCGAGGATTGGAAATCCGCCTTAAGATGAAAAAAGGAAGGGTGAAATAAAATTAAATGGGTAATCTTGGATACTTTTCGATATAAAAAGTGTATTTTTCAAAAAAGAATTGTAAAAAGGGACTAGCACTACCTACAAAGCTTTTCCATTATTCCAGTTTACTTATAGTTCCATGGCCAAAGCTCGATGGTTTCTCCGACCGGACAAATAGCCACTTCCTTTTCATTATGCACCTTCTTTGGAGTAAGAAATTACTTCTGGCAAATCGATTTGTTTTCAAAGATACCGAACGAACTGTAATGGCCATGGCCTTCTCTCCTCCGCAGAGGCTTCTGTTGGCTATGACTACGATTAGTATTGAATACATTTCACTACACTTTACATGGCGGATCTTGGAACGATAAAGCCTCTGCGGAGGAGAGAGGCCATGGCCCATGCGTGGTCTTTGAATGAATAATCTAAAATATGAAATAAACTTACTCTCAATATGAATAATTTTCCTAAAACCAAACATATGTTGTTTGGATCGAGGCAAAGGAAAAATACTTTTCCTGAAAATCGTATCTTTGAAATGGATGGAATTGCGATAGATCGGAAAAATCCGGCAGGAAATTTTTTTACAGTACACTTTCCAGGAAATTTTTGTCATCTTAGGCCTGTTTCATACGTCGAATTTAATTCAGACGAATTTAATTCGTTATTAAATTCGTCAATTGGTCGACACTAAAATGGTTTCGTTTCAAACGACGAATTTAATTCAGACGAATTCATTTCATGTCTAGCGATCATGGATTACCCAGAAGTAAAAAACCACGAGACCAGAAAGAGAGAAACAGACTTTAACATAATTTATGCATTTAATTCGACACGACGATAACACGTCGGATGAAACGAAGACGCGCTACAGACGTTGTATCCGTCTGACCATGACGGATACAACGTCTTGGACGAATTTAATTCATCAGACGGATTTAATTCGTTTCATACGACGCACTAACGTCGCATTTAATTGGTTCAATTAAATTCGTCTGAATTAAATTCGACGATAGTGCGACGTATGAAACGGGCCTTAGATACTGGAATGCATTATAATTTACTTATATTGTTTAATATATTTTTATGTAGTATCTTTCGAAATTTGCATTGGCGCCTGTGTTAAGTAAGGTAAAATGGCAATTTATTATGTAACCGCGGGCTTCGGGCTTCTACGTTACTGTTCTGTTAATATGAAATTTTATAAAACGTGGTCGTACCATTGAAATGAATATAACTGCAACGCTACCTTCAGATTAGCCTCCTGCGCAGACGTTGTTAGTGGGTCTCGGCCACTAACAACGTCTGCGCAGGAGGCTACCTTCAGATAAGCCGCCTATCTTTTTCTTGAAGTCAAATCTTGACCTCCAGACGCGCGTGTGTCATATGCATGATTGACTGATTGAGCGCTCTTCGCGTGCGGGAAAAGACTGGGGCTGCCTTCAACATTCCAGTTATATTCATTTCAATGGGTACAGACAAATGGGTGGGTACCAACATGGCCAATCATGTTACGGTATATGGAAACTCGGCTGAAGATTTATGCACGTTGTAGACGTGATCTCAGCATAAAATTTCATCTCATAATAAACGCTTTGAAGTGCGTCTAGTCCCCAGACCGATTGAGTATGATGCCAAACTGCCCTTGCTGTGTAAGTGTTTTTTCATCTTCGCTAGACCACAATTGGCATCACGATTCAAGATGTCACTACCAAAAGTAAATGTACTGTAATTAAAATATGAACACCAGAGGATATTACTTGCATACACTGCATTAGCAAGGGTCAAATAATTTATTATTTTCAGTGAAATGCTATATATGCTAAATAGTTATTAATAATATTGTGCCAAATTTTAGGAGGAATTTGCGCACTGGTTTATGCCAATCGAAGGTGTCATGAACTGTTACGTTGTTACGGTTTGTATTTTTGACCCAATATTTAACAATTATTCGCCGAAGGCGAGCTGATTATCGGGGAATATTCGCCGAGACGAAGTCGAGGTGAATATTCCCCGATAATCACCAAGCCTGAGGCGAATAATTGTTTTAGTATTTTTGCTCAAGTTTTTTTTGTGTGTTTTTCTGGTCTGAATTCATTTTAATTTCGCTTATTTCTTTATCACTATTAACTTCAACGAAACGGCTAGCCGCTATTTTGAAAATTTCGATTTTGTTATATTCACCTGTAGGTGAATATAACAGATTAATACGTCAAATTTGACCAATCACCTTGTAGGATTTGTTATGTTCACTTGTGCAAAAATACTAATTATTAAAATTATAACTGGAATGCCATATAATATAATTATTGCTTCCAAAAGCGTTTAGCAAGTCGAAATCGTCTTGTGCCGAGATTGAAGTTTATCACAATGTGCGGCACTATATGTTCTCTGAAATCCACATAGACGTTTTATAGACGATATTTTATTGTATTTAGAACGATGATGGAAAGATAACGGATTTAATCAGTTACTATACTCTCCCATCAACAATAATGAATCATCCTGTTCATAAAACACTGAAAGCAGCTTACTCTTTCTATAATGTTAGTACGGTAACCCCGCTGTTGGAGTTAATGCAACATGCGTTAATATTGGCTAAAAAGGTAAGATGTTGAAATGTACAATTGTGTTGAAATGCTTAACACACGTGTGTGTTTGTGGAAAGCATTACAATCTTGATTAAAATTGACCCATGTGATATTGACCTGATTTACCTGTACTAGAGACGGATCATATGTACGAAGAAAGCTGCGGATGGATAGATAGGGATACAACTACTAGTCCTTGTATTTTTCTTTTCCTTCTTAAGAAGTTCTCTTTGCATTTTTCAGGTAGTTGTATTCCTATCCAATATCCATCCACAGCTTCCTTATTATTGGCACTACCCTCGCTGGCACAGACCGTTTAGGATTTCCGCAGGCCTCTCTATGGGTGTTAGCCTGCGAATGGGTTTTGAAAAAAAAACATTTTCTAAGAAAAAAATTTCCGGCCACCCGATTCCTCGGGTGAGATGCCTGCGGAGGAGGTCATGTCAGCTACTGTATTTAAATTGTAATTGTTGTTCACAGTTCGCTTATCATCATGTTATTACTCAAATTATCTCATTTTGTCTCTAATATTCTTTTTGCTCTATCATGCAAAATAGAACCCCTCCTGAACCCCTTCTGGCCACGGCTAGGGGGTTGCGCCCCCCAGTAAATCCATCCCTGAATTTAGGCATCCGATTCGTGGATTTCGCTTACGACTTGATATTTACGCGGTGTTGAACCTCTTTGCCTTTGAATGGGGGTAAGGACTTGGTCTCTGGCAATTTTGCATATCGGAGCATTCAGCATTGTACTAGTATCCCAAATGTCGCGGGTTCGATTCCCACCGTGGCCAAGCAAACTTTTCAGCTTGCCCGGTGTGGATGCACACTCAGAGTAACATCACAAACATCATATCCACCTGAGTACATAACACCAACACACACAAATATTAGTACACTTTGTATTTTCGATAGCTTATTGAGAATAAATTCACATTCTGGTATTAGCCAAATAAGTTATTTTATTGAAATTTGACCGTCCTTCATTAATGGAGATAACAAAATTTCTTAGACAATGGCGAAAACAAAGGCCTGGCGGCATTAGATTGTAAAATATTAGTATGACCCCTTAAAATATTGTATGACGCCATCAAGTACAATAGTATACATAATTTACAGATTTTTGGAGGCCTTCCGCAACTGACTCGTACGCGTACCATAGATATCTTATATACACTAGATAGTGCAGCTAATTATTCTGCAATTCAAAAATTGAAGCCGTGATTGCAGTCTCAGGTCGTTCCCATGAAATGAGAGAAGATTCGTATATTTCGTATTTCTTAAACCCTGTTGAGCAACGGTCTCGGCGTTTTTTGCTGTGTAAAAGAGATGCGCTATCTAATGTATATAAGATATCTATGACGCGTACCCTGTCGTCAAAGCTATAAATTATAATATAATCTTGAACTGTCTGCCAGTGTTGGTAGGGATGCAACTACCTGAAAATACAGTATAAGGAGAATTTCGACGTTTCGAGCGAAAGCCCTTTGTCAGTATAAACTCCAGACGAAGGGCCTTCGCTCGAAACGTCGAAATTCTCCTTATACTGTATTTTCAGGTAGTTTCATCCCTACGAACGAAAGCTTGTTCAAATTATAATATAGACCAGTGCACTGAAGAGTGTGATGCATGATAATCGACCTTCAAAAGTCGCCTTTTGTTCAAGTGGACCAGTATACGTCTCATACAAACACTGGTTGGTTTTATTATGTTTTGAGTACAACTTATGCAGGCGTGGATAGTGTATTTTCGTGTGTACACCGAATTTAAGATTCCCTGCATTGTAAATATGCATAAAAAGTTCCTGTGAAGATTTTTGATAAAAATCTCCTGGCAGTGGTGCCACCATGTTCCAACGTTGATTGCCAACGTTTCTTATGAATACGTTTCAGGCTGGATTCGATGTCTTCAATGCGCTTGACCTCATGGATAATAAAGAAGTTCTTGAGAAACTAAAGTTTGGAATAGGAGATGGTAATTTGCAGTATTATCTGTACAATTGGAGATGTCCTTATATGGAATGTGAAAAGGTTCGTTCTCTATATTAATACTGTACATACAACATTACTGAATGATTTAAACACGTGATTTAAACAACTGTGGTGAAACGATATGAAGAAAATTCGCGCACCATAGAGTAATAGAGTAAACGAATAATCTCATAAACATAAATCTATTATAAATCTATTTTTTACAACATCATGTTTTTGTGGTTTTATTTAGGTTGGTTTGGTACTCCAATAATTATTGCTGTTCTTACTCAAGTTCTTTCATGGGACGGTTTTGCCATCGTGCATGAATTAAGAAATCATCCTGAAGTGACAGAATCGTCGAAGGAAAATTTAAAAATGTGAACTAAACTGCTCCCCATTGCTCTCACGGCCATATTTGAAGAGGGAGGTCTAGGTTGTTTGAACTTTTACATTTGTTTGATCATCTTTGCTGGACGAAACAGTGATATGTAGTGTAAAGATTTGATATAATACGAGCGATAAAAGAAGATGAGCTCATATCATTCTTCCACCGTTATTACAATTTAAAAATTACACGAGATGATGTCGGTGCATAACGGGTTAGGATTGAGGATAGGGTTAGATTTTTCGTCGATGTTATAACATCAATTGCGATAATGCTATGCAGGGCTTATCAGAGAAATTCGGGGGCCCGGGGCAAAATTTTTTTTTGGGTGCTCTATTTTTTCCCAAAAATGTTGGCGAGCGGGGATTTTTTCCGGACATTAATAAAAAAGGTCAAGAAAAATATTGATTGACCGATCGCGCAACAATCGGAAATTACTGATTCCGATTATTCCAAGTCATAATCGACCCGATTTTAATTGTTAAAACCATCCAAATGACGTCGCTTAAGCTAATAAACGTAAATTGGTGTAAGCAACCTTGCTTCCTTGCCAAACGCTACTAAAACATGAATGCAAACCAAACTAGAAATCAACATCAGACTATTTTAAGAACTTTTACATTTTTCTATTTCAATTTAGCAGCCTCTAAACCGTTGTCGTACTTTCATATTAGATAGCTTAAGATCTACGACGTCGACGTCAGCTAGGACGTCAGGGCTATGCAGAGGACTGGGACTAGGATGTCGTCCTAATGTAGTCCCAGTCCTCCGCTTAGCCCTGACGTCTTAGATGGCGTTGACGTCGTAGATCTTAAGCTATCTATTAATTGGTTTATACAATTGGAAAACACGACAACTTTTACCAATACTGTTGTCGGTCAATCACTTACGATATGAGCTCATTCTCGATCATCGCCTCGTATTTGCCAGGGTTATCCTTGCACTATACTATGGAGCACTTTCATTAATTACTGCCAATTTAGAATTCTGAAACGATGATTTTCATTGGCAATTGTTTTTGTGCCCAAAACAATGGAATTGCTTCGTTCTTTAGAAAATGTTCGTAATTTGAGCTGCGACATTGAATATAGAACCTTCCGGAAAGTACGTCACTTTGGCTATAGAGCCTCGTTTTCGCGATTGTGAGGCTTGGGTTTAACTAATCTTGCATACACGGAAACGAGGCTGTACATAATGACGTAATTTCTGGAAGGGTGTATTGGGTTAAAGTTATTCTGAAATGGTAACATGACAGGGAAACCAGTTGGGCCACTTTGTATACACATAAGAATTTAAATAGACAATCGAAGATATCACATATCGCTTTCATCTCAACGCGTTTTGTTTTAAGATGTTAGAAAATTACTCGTATACTAATATGGGCGATGGGTAGTAGCTTTTAATATACGCACTATCGTGCAGGAGATGGTCAACCGTTGTCGGTGATGTTAATTCTTTTCAGCAAATAAAATCCTGCATCATTTAAAAGATTAAAAGATGTGTAGTTCAATTTTAACCTTGTACCCATGACCCGGCCGATTTTTTAAAAATATCGGGTGGGAGAGCCCTTGGTATGAGAGTTGGCATTTCTGCTCCTGAAACCTGCCATTGCGGGAGGTGGCTCTCGCTGTGTTGGACAGCTGTTGGAGTTCTCAGCGTGTAGCCGTATTTATATAGTAAACCACTGGAACTTTGCGTTTAAATCGATGGTAACAGACTAGGCGACGTTGCGGCAGCCAGGATTCCTTGCTGACAGAACCAAAACACCGGCATTAGGGTACCGCCAGTGAAAATTTCACTGTATCACCGCATGTATAAACAAAAAGTGATGTCACGTGTGACGTAGCCAGTTTCAAATCAGGGGAGGCCTAAAAACAAACAGAACTGAGGTGCACGGCAAAGCACTTTTACCCTGTTGTTAATTTGACTATAGTTTGGCTAGTTACTCTATACGATAGTAAGAAAATTTATACTAGAGTCTCTGAAGTGCCATTTTCTGCATTTGGAGGCCATGTTTATACGACGTTTTGATGAATATGAAACAATGAGAGACTGACGACCTTGGTTAGCTGTTCTTAATGCTTTCCATCAATGCTTCCCAAAATAATTTTTGAATTTTGGGTCTCTGAAATGGTATTTCTAGCATTTTGAGATTACTATGCGCCAGATTACAACTGTCTTCAACTGCACAACATACTGCTTACAAAACATATTAGAATGTTAGGGTTTGGAATCCAAGTGAGAATATATACATTTTAAGACCTAACCAGGAACGACTGCGAAAAATGCAGCACAAGGTCCTCTGGTAGGAATCGAACCTACGGCCCTGCTATTCCGGTGCAGCGCTCTAACCAACTGAGCTACAGAGGCCAGCTGTCAAAATACAGTCTCTTTCCCGACAAAATGCTAATTTTTTCCTGACAGGAGCGGGGGGGGAGGGGGCTGCAATCCTAACACAAATTATTGTGGACAGCGCACGCGAAAATACAACTACCTGCCTTGCCCAGAGGCCGAATACATGCGTGCAAAAACAGCATTTTTTGACTCCCCAAAAAAAAAAAATCTTGCAGCCTCCAAAATCTGAAAATCACAGCCTCACAGGTATCAACATTGTTTATGGTCAATAGAATCCAATACTGCAAATGTTTCGTACAACTCCCTGTTAATTAATCCTAGATAAATTTTGCGTTTCACACATACATAATATTTTTAAAATCGCACATTTGTCACCAAAAATATTCCGCGCGTTCAACTTGTTAATAAGTTAATAAGTTAATGAATGTATCAATTTTCAATTATCCACCGTTGCTTTGGTAACAAAGTCAAAGATTGATCGAATCCTGAAGTTCATATTATGAAACGATTTTGTGCTCAAAAGCTCAAGCTGGGATTATTTCACTGATATCAAGTATTTACAATCTATGATTATACATTATGGTCGAGAAAAACGGGCCCGTATCTCAAAATTCTGATCTCAAAAGGCCTCAAAATGGTATGTGGGTTTTTACGATTGACTGAAAGTGGATATATACTGTATGTCGTATAGCATTAATTATTATGCCTGATATTAAAAAATAAACTAAATCGTAGTTGTATTCATATCGTATAATAGAGTCGAGTTAATACAAGGACGTGAAAGTGACATTATCAGAAATTTAAAATAAAAACCCCACAAATTTGAATGTACTCTCGCTGTCACGAATGATTTCAATTTATAGTTTGACCTGCAGGGTCATAAATAAATATGCATTGCTCGTATTCCGGTAATAGATAGGGGGTTCGGAATCCAGGATTAAATATTTGTCGACAGTCCCAAAATTACACAAAATACGTCACTTTGTGGGATGAAAGGGTGAATTTAACCAGAGTGTTATTTCAATCCAGTCGGAGTCTAATTTCCAGACATTCCAACCTTCTCCAGCCCAAGTTAAATTAAGTTAATTCCCTATTAAATAACTGTTTACGTCTGCCAGTAAAAAGGTAGCTTAGTTAATATTACATGTATTTTGAACATCAAACTGGCTTTATTATGGGGAGTCCTAAGTTGAGATTCAGAACTGGAGTATCAGGAGGATCGACTGCGAAAAATGCAGTGGTCACTCGATTGGGCGTGGCCTCATGCATGCTACATACGCTGTCGCAATAGCTTAATCTTTGAGGTGGATTTAATAGTAGAACATCAGATACCTGAAAAACATCTAGCTTGCTCGCGGTAGATGCCAAAAAGTAAATAAAACCATGTTGACTTTCGAATTTTGATGATGCAATTAGCGATATGTAAGCACTGCATGAGTATGCGGCAAGCCGGCAAATCGGCAACTTTGCAAGTTAAATATGACATTTTCGCGAGTAACTAAATAATTAAGCTTAGATAATAAATATCCTTGAATTTTCCCATATAATTTAATCATGTTCATGTTCTTATTGAATCATTTTATGTTCCGATTGATCATTTTAATGTTTAATTTCGCGATTGCGCGAAAGACTAGAATAATTATTTCCTGCTGGGCTGCTGCCTGAAGTTATCCACGCTTGTGACAATAAGTACTTATCTAAGCGGACATGAATTATTGAGACATTTTTGTGCTAGTCTGCTAGAATTTTCTGCAAGTATATCAAGTTTCAGAGAGATTAAAATAGTGACAAAATTACGTTCTGAAGTATTTCTACGTAGGATGCGGAACAGTTATTGTAAAAAATATCACATATGTAGTACAACGTCTGTACAAGTGATAGCCAAAATTATTTGGACGGTGTCAAACGGCATTCACTGAATTTCGCTCATATTTAATCCCTGCCAGAGGGAACGCCGTTCCCCATGTTATATTTTGGCAGGGGGACGCCGTTCCCCTGGTAAAAAGGTGGGGGGACGGCGTTCCCCCTGTGTTCCCCCTGGAAAACATCACTGGTTACAGCTCAACAGCTGGCCTCTGTAGCTCAGTTGATTAGAGCGCTGCACCGGAATTGCAGGGCCGTAGGTTCAATTCCTACCAGAGGACCTTGTGCTGCATTTTTCGCGGGCGTTCCTGGTCAGATCTTAAAATGTATATACTCACTTGGATTACAAACCCTAAGAACAGCATTCAAATATTAATACCACCAAGTGAAGTGCAAGAAACCAGATCATTGAAGTCCACCTTATCACAACCCGCACACCCGATCACCTATATATACATGAACCTACGGTTACAGCTCAACAGCTGGCCTCTGTAGCTCAGTTGGTTAGAGCGCTGCACCGGAATCGCAGGGCCGTAGGTTCAATTTCTACCAGAGGACCTTGTGCTGCATTTTTCGCAGTCGTTCCTGGTTAGGTCTCAACATGTATATATTGATTTGTTTATTTCTCACCCGGATTACAAACCCTAACATTCTAGTATTAATTCCACCAAGTGAAGTGCAAGAAACCAGATCATTGAAGTATCAGGAGGAACATGAGGAAATTGAGAGAATTCTGAGAGAAATATTGACTAACTTAAACTACCATGCATCCCTTGAACCAAATGGACACCGTAGTTATACTAAAACATGGAACGATCCACAACGAGTCACATCGACCCCACAACCAGCCACAATGACCCCACAACAATCCACAACCAGCCCCAAATCCCATAACAGTGGCGTAACGTTATATCAGGGGGCCCCCGGTTCAAAATTTCCGAAGGCCCCCCTAGTAGAAGTGCCAAAGGCACGAGTTGAGCGCCGTATGTGCACGAGTCTTCTAGGGGTCCTGGGCATGCTCACTTGGAAAACTTTTGAATCTAGAGTCTCTGAAATGCCATTTCCCGGACTTTGGGGAGACGGATTTTACAGAATTCTGATGGTCTGAAACGACATTGTAACATATCAGAGGCTTCCCTGGCAAATGTTTTTTGCTCTACAGCCTCAGCCTGGGGGCCCTATTTGGCCCATTGGAGTTGGGGGCCCCTATTTGGCCCATTGGAGTTGGAGGCCCCCGGGTTCGCCCGGTCTGAACCCATAGTAGTTACGCCACTGCCCCATGATGAGACACAACGATTCACAACGACCCTACAACCAGCCACAATTAACGATCCACAACCATGCAGCCACAATGACCCCACAAGGAGCCACAACGATCCACAACCAGCCACAATGACCCCACAACGACCCACAACAATCCAACAACAACCAGCAAGGAGACACAACGGGGCAACAATCAGATCCCACGACAATCCACAAACAAAAACTTTATTTATTATTTATCGTCATGCAAAATTGCAACTGACGGTCATTTTGGGATTGTTGTGGCTGGTGCAGCTTGTTGTGGGGTCATTGTGGCTGTTTGTGGGTCATTGTGGCTCGTTGTGGGTCATCGTGGTTTGTTGTGGGTCTTCATGGCTCATTCCACGTTTGAGTACCTTAGTTAATTAAAGTCAGTTCAGCAGCTAATTGTCATATTCCTTTTCCTTGAGCACCCCATCCCGCTTTGTACCTGCAGATCAAGACAGATCACCCCTGAAGCCCCAAACGCCCATTTACTGTAGTTGTTATTAATTGAACATGTTTGATACATACACACTCAATAGGGATTTCGTCATCAATACTTAGCTCTGCCCATTGACTGGTACATGTCAATAGAGAGAGACCCAATTTAAGAATCACACTTGATGGAAAATTATTTAATGCTGTGTGTAGGCGGAAACTAGTGTATGGGCATGTTTTATTTGGAAATGCTAACATCCAGATCCCTTCAATTGATGGCTGCACGTTTAGTCTGTATAGTCTTCAAACCCTTCTTTGCCTAATAATTGGAGGCCAGCACCCCCTTCCCCCCCCCCCCCCCCCCCCCCCAGCACTGACTGCAAAGTGTTCATAAAACTTGCACAAACGAAATTGAAAATATTTGCTGTAGATGTCTTAGAAGGAGCAGGTCAATCTTTGTCAAGTTTCAGTAAGGAGGAATGTCAGCCAACTGTCAAGGTTAATGAGGTAAGAGTCTGAGCAAAGTTTGGGACAAATATAGATAAGAATTTATTGTTAGATACCAATGATTTTATTCTTGATGTCCTGATTGTATC